ATAAAGGACGAGGGTAGATAAGCCATTGGGTTTGTTCGCAACACCCTCAAAGATACCGGAATGTGACCTCCAGTTTGAGCGAGCCAACGTGACAGTAGGTCAACAATTTGATTCGTTGTAACTATTTCTTACATGCTATCATGGGTGATAGTACTCTAGATCCTCAAGACCTGAAAAGGTATACTTGCCATCAGCCTTACAGACTTAACTTCGATGATAGTCTGGTTTATTGAACAAGTACTCTCTTTCCAATCACAAAGCACAAATTTGGAGGAAACAATATGGTTCATTTTATAGTCAAGCTACACATTTTGTGGAAAAGCAGCGCATCATATCCTCTGTGAAGTGCAAAGACATACTGATCACGGGAGCTCCAGACATCCCATCTACAGGCCAACTTTCCGAATTTGAGGTAAGGCCATATGGTGGGCTCAGTATTTTGACAAAAATAGACATGTCAAGGACTTCAAAAAGGAAAACCCCATCTCCAAGGTCGTAGCTTGTAGCATTGGCCACTAATTGGATACCCTAAACCTAAAATCCGGTCAGGTACGGATGTTAAAAGCCGCCAGTTCGAAAGCAGCCAGACTATTAGGGTTAGAATGACGACATTGACAACAGCACAGATACAGTTCATCGAGCGGGTATATCTTAGTTTGCTCGTGCGAACAACTTCATGTTGACTTGTCCTTTGCGATGTTCATCATTTTCATGGATATCCTAGAAGAGGAAACTTGTGAGAGCAACACAGAGGTTATCCATGAATGAGACGGGCAAGGATCATAAGATGCCCCCACCCACCAGTGAGCCTCCTGAGCTTCTTGAATGGTCTGGATGGAGAGCTAGAGCCTGCCAGCTGAGCTTAGAAGCCATCGCTTGTCACTAGCACGAGGCTGAAGGACTCGAGGGAGAAACCGTTGCCAAGACCCCCCCAGCTCTCCGTAAGCCGCTTTTTAGTGGGTTATTGACTGTTAGTGAATGAGAGCGACAGCTGAGAAGCGGGAATCATGGGTTTCTCAATAGAGACAGTCTTGTCTGCCACGTGATTCATGAATCAGATTGCAGGTTGAAGCAGACAAACATAGGCCCGTTTTGGACCTAAAACAAACCGCTAACGAATAGAAACAAACTTTGAAGCTTTCTACATTCTCCGAGTCTCAATCAAGAACGAATGACAGCCGGCAATAATACCCGGCAGCCAATGGCAGCAGTGACATCGGCTCAGCACGAGTCAGCCAATGGGTGAGAGGCTTGGCCATCGTACAATTCCCCTCCTCAGCCTTGCTCATCATACGATGTCGTCCAATTTTTGCTACGCCAGCGGTCCAGGACTCCCGGGGGTCTTCAAGGGCCCCTGGAGTTGGAACCGCACAAGTTGGACCTTTTCGAGGCAAAAGTCACGCCATTACGGGCAACAAACATCACGACGTCGACCGGCAGTGGGAGAGAAATCTGCTCTTGCTCATACGCACCCCCGTCCCGCCAACTCGCTTGCAGAAGAGAGAGGGTAAGAGAAAAGAAAAATAGTTGAGAAGGAGATCCAATGCTAGGAGAATATCACTAGTCATAGCATGGGCTTTGTGAGAAAACCCCATCCCCCAACGCTGTCGTCTAGAACTAGTGAGTGACTCGATCGCAAGTCGAGTTAATTAGACCCCTAAAAAGAACCCAATCTTTTGACTGCGGCGAATACGACAACTCACAAGACCCCAATCCGGCCTTTTTTTCCCTCTTGATTACCCGTCCGACCTATCCAGCCAGCCAGTCCAAGACAAGTCCAGTCTCCTCCCCAAGCAAGAAAGCAAGTCTCAGGATTGACTCCCAGTCCTGTCCTGTCCTGTTCCCCGTCTAGTTAACTTGGGCCTGGGCTTTCCAATCCCAACCAACGAATTGGGAGCCGCATGAGTCCGCTCATCCTATCGACTGATACTCTCCTTCTCCGTAAAACCCTTCACTCCCTCGACCAACATCTGGCGACCGATCCATTTGTTGTTTCTGTTTGCGCCCGATCTCATTTTGCGATAACTGAGCGGTTAATTCATTCCAACTTACTCAGAGCCCGCCTTCACAAACATTGCTGCACTGTGGCTAGAAGCCATACCCGCCCATAAGCACATACCTTAAACCACAAGCTTCCGCCACGCTCTAGTCAAAGCTCGACCTCATCAAATCTACAGCCAAACCGACAACGAATCAATCTGCTCCTTGGCCCGTACGCCTTGGCTGTCGCTTTCGCTATCGACCCATCTTACAGTGCTGTCACATACTGCAATTCACCTTTCTGCAGCTCTTCAACCCCATCATCCGCATTCTTATTCCTTTAAGCACCTGCATCTGGCCTCAATCTCAACAACACCCCACCTAGCCATCTTTACCGAGCTCATCTTATCCTCACTTCGCTGAATCTCAATCGACAGTTCAACCTATTTCCGTGCCATCTCATCCCTTTCGCGAGGTTGTCATCATCAGCATCATCAATTCTTACCCTCCATCACGGCTGGACCCACTGTCATATGCTTTGACAGATCGACCCCTCAATTCCATTGCGACAGCTTTGTGATTGTCACACTTTATCGAGTGGCCTATTTGCTCTTCCAACCGCTGTTGAACCTAATTGCACCCGTTTTTCAATCGAAGTAGCCATCGCCAATTGAGCTGGCTCAGACCCTGTACGGGTTGCTCACGCGAGACCTCCCTTCCCGGACGACGAACACGGCCTCGCAGGCCGGGATGCCGTGTTAGCAATGGATCCTAATCTTCTTAACTTTTTTGCGGTGCCCAACAACCAGACGCTGAATCACGTGGATCAGAACAACGACACATCTCAGCAGCAACATGAACCTTCGCCATGGAGACCAACAGGCTTAGAGGGTGACATGGGAGCATCTGGCAACCAGGGGGGACCATCCTTCGATTACCAGTCGACTGCAGCCTCTGATATGTCATTCACCCAGGCTCCAATGCCGTCACCATATACCAGCTCAAACAAGACCATACTACCTACTAGAGGACCCCCACGGGGCCATCAACAACGGAAGCGAGATGCCCATGAAAGGAAGCGCACAAAGGTTGATACCGATTCTGCGTTGGAATCTTTGGACTACTGGATCCGTTTCGACGACGAGGAAAACGAAAGGACAGGAAGTTATGAAATTGACTTTTCGAAGCGTTTCGACCCCATGACCAATAACACTAACACTCATTATCGGTATGTTTAAGCCATATATCCATAATCAGAAAACTGATCAACGACAAAGACCGGGTTACGGAGGAAGCTCAACAACACCAGGACTTGGCACTGGCATATATGCAACTGCTCCTCCATTTCAGGGTGCCGACTACTTCGACGACAATGCTTTAGACAATGCTCTATCTGATGACGAAGAAGAAGGACTCGACTCGATGAGTCTGGAGGAACATCTCTCAAAAATCGAGACCATGCCACCTCCAGAAGTACCTCCCCGAGAGGGCCTGTACTCGACGCCGCTCAGTTGGGAAAAGCCAGAGCCGGGTCTACGCATGGAACCAGACTTTGGGTTAGGCAATACTGCAGCAGCCATGAACGCGGGGTTCGGGCAGACCATGTCGGGTATGGGCAATAATCAGGTTCTGAGCAACGATGAGCAGAGGAGACTTCTTGCTATCGCGATGAATACTGGTCGGACACCAGCCAGCTACATGCCCCCGAGTGGATTTGGTTTAGGATTTGGAGCTGGTCTTGGTACAGGACTCCCACCCGACTTCAATAGCAGCATCGACTCACTGTTGGGAACACCAACAGGGGACCGCAGCCAAAAACAAACGCCTACGCCAGCCAATAGCTCGAAGGCTCCATCGAGGAACCAGGACGTCAAGACGGAGGCATCGAGCGAGACAGGTTTGAGTTCTGCTAGACCAGGACTCTCACGCACCAACACCGCCACATCCGATATAAAGGGCAAAGATAAACTTAAACCAGGAGATCGAACAGCCCATAATGATATTGAGCGAAAGTATCGAACAAATCTTAAGGACAAGATCGCCGAGCTACGCGATGCTGTACCCGCCCTCCATTCGATACCGGAAGACGGAACTGAAGAGGGTGAAAACTCACAGCGAGCGCCCAAAGTGAGCAAGGTCAGTGGTGATTCCCATCAACATTAAATACGGACATGATGACTGACGTAATACAGGGCACTGTTTTAACAAAGGCGACCGAATATATTCAGTACTTAGAAAGGCGCAATAGGTCCATCATGAAGGAACATCAAGAGTTAGCCAGACGTCTACAGGCATTTGAGCAGCTCCTCAGCGCCTCGGCTCGACAGCCATTCTTGATGCCGAATCACAGCCGGACACTCTTCGATCCAAGAGGTTTCTGCTAGAATAGACATGATTTTGTCCCAAGGACTCTTGGGATTGTGTATAAATATACCCCAGAGATGAATCGCGCAGCATACACTGCTCATCCTAATTATGCATCCTTCATTGGCCAGTCTCGATGGACAATTGAACGCGCTGTGCCTTATTTGTCATATCATACCGGATCCGGTTTGGGATTACTGCCATGATGACTAGGCGAGGCTGGGGTCTGTCTCCATAGCACCTTGCGGAGACTCATTTTGTTACCGTGAGATATTACCCTGTATGTTGATGATTATTGTCACAACAAAGATCAGATCTTTACACGGAAATAGCTAAACAAAACCCAGATCTAATAAACAAAGATCAGCAGCGGGTTATGTATGTACGTATGATTTCTTGCATGCATTTAATTTCACCTGCAGCGGTTGTGGCTTGACCCATTCATGATCCTAGTCATGAACCACGCGCGGTTTTCTTTTGTTTTCCAGATTGAGCTGCAATAACATCATTTGTAGGCCTAGCAACAAAATTTCGAGTGGGTCGTCAAGAGTAACACAACGACCGTCACAGTCGTATTGATCCTATTTACTGTACATTTTATTTCAGACGTCTAGGTCCAGGTCTATATCAGTATGTCACAGGTTGAGTATTACATGTCATGATCGCAGCGCCTCGATATCGTCAATCTCTTTGACGGCCTCAGTGGACAGAATGTAGGGCGAGTCGTCGTCTACGCATACGCTGTCCTCGATTCGGACGCCCATACCCCGGAAGGCGGCCGGCCATCGGTCATCATGGGGGACGTAAACACCCGGCTCTATGGTAACGCAGTGACCCTTGCGAAGAGTCTCGCGACGGCTGTAGCCAGGGCAGTCATGCACGTCAAGGCCGATGTAGTGACCAACGTGGTGGGGAAACAGCTGGTCAATGTTGGCCATGTTGACGTTGAACCCGATGCCGCGCAGTTGGTCAACAAGACCCCGCGCGGTAACGTTGTGAATGTCCTCTAGTGAGAGCTTGGAGGATTCCCTGCAGAGTGACACACTAGATCGCTGCACATTGAGGACGGCCTGGTATAGGTCGCGCTGAGCAGGGGTAAAGCGGCCGGAAGCTGGCCAAGTGCGGGATATGTCGGTGATGTAGGTGCCATACTCACCGCCGGCGTCAATGAGGATGAATTCGTCCTCTTTGAACGTGCTGTTATTAACCGTGTAGTGAATGCAGTTTGCGCGCTCACCGCCAGCTACGACGGGGATATATGCCGGGCCTTCGCAGCCATTGACGGCGAATTGGTAGTCAAGGAACCAATGCAAGTCCTTCTCACGTTTCCATGGTCGGCGCATTGCATCTGTGATGACACGACCTGAAATTTGACCAGCAATACGCATGTTAGCGACTTCTGCTTCACTCTTGACCACCCGAAGCTTGTTCATGACGGAGTAGAGCGGTGTTCTGGATGGTCGAGATTCTCGCCCTGAGATGAGTCCCCAAAGCCAAGTAGCTGTCGAAGCAACACTACCTTTTGAAGGTGGTGAGTCTGCATATATGAGTTTGGCAGATTTGAGAATCTTGGGGAGCAATTGCTCTGCCTCGTTTATCGTATACGCTTCATCGGCGTTGAAGATATCTCTCGCAGCATCCACACCATTGCGATAACCATTCCATTGCTCCTCACGGGCATTCTTGGGCTTGACAAACATACGGAATATGTAGTCACCATACTCAGGACCAGTCTTTTCAATCACCGCGATGGCATTTTCTTCCATCCATCCTGTAAGGTATAGAAAGTTGGACTCTTGTCGATATTGGTGAAAGACAGCACCAGACTTGTACTGGAGAGATGCAGCATGCAGAACGGCAATACTGCCCTCTGTCATCGACTGTGCGAGGAGAGCTCGGCGATCAGCATATTCTTGCGCCGTGATCCCTTGTGTGATTTCGTTTGGTTTTAGGATGTGAGGATGTGTTTCGTAGACTGGCTGTCCGAATCGGAGGTCGGCGGCGGAGACAACGGCATACGCCCGGCGGCTGGCCGGGGCATCTGACGGTAGAGTTCGGCATGTTGTCGTCTTTGTTGGAGTAGATATTGTTGATATGTTCCTCACCGACCGAGCTCTGAGGGGCAGACGATGCTCAAAGCTCCGTAATGGAGCTCGAGGGAGCTTCATCTTGAGGATCAACGATGATCTGAGATTGAGTTTAAGCGGTTGATGAGCTTTGTTAGCGGAACTTGGAGCTCTTACATCAATTGAACCCCTCGTACACGGCCAATTTGCGCCAGAGACCTCAAAGATCTCGGTGATGACGCCAGACCAAAATTATGACAAGGATGGGCCGAGGCTAACTTTAGTTGCGAGACAGCGGAAAAGCGTGAGGCTCAAGACGAGATTGGATAGTGGATGTGTTTCAATGCGGGAGACGCACCAGGGTCGGTCAGAATGATGTCTTTTCTATGCATAGACTATGTAAGCTAATTATGCAATTACCTTTTCATTCCTCTTGTGCATTATAGACTCCGTTAATTGAAAAACAAACACAATTAAACGTCCATGTCTTGACTCTTTGTTATTGTTTCCTCTCATGTCTCGCGTGAATCCCCCGTCTGCGGTACGAGGCTGAAATTTTGTTGTCTGGTCTCGTCTCTCCCAATTTCCCGTTTCTGGCTGTAGTGCCTCTGGTTGCTGGGTGGCTTTTAGGCGACTGGCCCGTGCGAAGAGGTGTTTTTCTCGCAGTGGACGTCCAGCAGGCCACAGAAGGCCTTCACTGGAGGTACAGGGCCCCCGGCGGCCCCTCCCAGAAGGCCCTGCTAGTCGCCGAACTGGCCCAGGAGCGGTATAGTGCTGTTGTGCCAAGCGCGACTCTTAACAACACGGCCTGCTTTGCTTTGCTTTGGTCTGCTCAGTCATCAAAATTCGATGGAGTCTGTCCCTCACTTGGCTCGTTTCCCTCCATCCAAAGCACCAGGCCTAGGAAAAGGTTCAGTACCTACCAAAACAACATAACGGCCGATTTGTTGCTCGCTCATCATTTGACTGCGTCTGCTGTTGGCTTCTTTTCCTTTTACATCTTTGCCATCTCCGCGAGCTCTCATGTGTCGTTAGCATCTATTACCTCTCTTTGTTGCCTCGCATTGTCTCTGTCTAGTCGCTTTGACGTGTCAGGCTCCGCGTCGCGTGCTGTCACAAGTCTCATCCTCCCAGCCCCTCCACTACTAACCGTACCGTCCTCGCTACTACCACTACCCGTCCGTCTGCCACCACGATCGACCACCACCAATAACAGCTCAAATCTTGTCACGTCATCCTTGACGTTCGCTCTCGACTTTTGTCGTTCTGCTTAAACGCCCTCTGGTCTGCTCTGGTCTCTCCTCTCCAGAGCAGTTCACGGGCTTTATATGGCAACGATATCTTTGTCACCAACGCCTGGTCCCATATCGGCCATGTCTTCGAGACGGGGCCCGTTAACGAACAACCCAAATGTTGCCAATTCGCCTCTGAGAGGTGCTTCCGCTCTGGCTGGATATGCTAAGCAGAAGCGTTCATATGCTACCGTTCAGCGTGAAGAAACCTATGGCCAGCCGCCGCCTCTAAAGAAGCAGGTACTCGATAATGGCGTGCAGCGTCCGGTTCGATCACCAACCCGGTCTACCAGGACTCAGGTTCTGGTTCAACGCGGCGCTACGCGTCCTTCTACCAAGGAAAGAACCTCGAGGGCTGCCCCGACAAATGTCTCCCGTGAGGCCGACACCGAGAAGGAGGCATGGAAGAAGCATCACCGTGCCAAGTTTCCTAAAATGGTCTTCTATTTCGAGAGCATACCCGATGATGTTCGTGCTAGACTAACAAAGAGGGTCAACTATCTTGGTGCTGTATGTTAACCTCGAAAGTTTTGATGGGCCCCACTGACCTTGCTTCAGAGACAAGAACCCTTCTTCTCCATTGACGTTACCCACGTCGTCACGACTCGAACAATCCCACCTGAAAGACAAGAGGCGCACCAAGACCAGAACCAAGGACACCATGGGGAGCACAACGAGTCCGAAGAACAGCCTCAGACCATCAATCCATCGTTACTAAACCGTAATACCGAAGCTCGAAGAAAGCTACTGTCCGAGTTCCGCAATGCACCTTCAAGGTCTCAACAGCTTGATGATCCTCTGAAGCGAACCCGAGGATCAAAGAACAATGACGTGCTGTACAAAGCTCGTGAGATGGGCAAGAAGATTTGGACACTGGAGAAGTTCCAAAACATGCTTGCAGTCTTGCTTGAGGCTGAGACAAGCCAAAGCACGTACGGTTCAAGATCAACAGCTGCTCGTGGTAATTACGGTGCTTCAAGGGAGCCCAACCTGCTTCAGCTGTTGCACAATGAACGTCTAAACGGACCATCTGACCGCGATCCTTCTGCTGTTCATCGTGAATTATGCTATTTCAAAGGACCTCACATTTATGTATGGGATATGGACGAGAAGAACAAGCCCATCATGGTTCGAGAGTACCCCAAGGTTGCTAATAAGGCAGATGGTGAATGGCCTCAGTTCCGAAGTGTAGGCAACGGCCGATGCCCATTTGTGGAGGACCATGATGTGCCTGAAAAGGATCATCGAAGACAACGAGAGCAGGAAAAGGCACGCCTTGCCAAGCGTGAGGAAGCTGCCCCTGTTCTCAAGCCCCCTCAGGTCCCAATGCCTAAGCCGGTGACAGGAAAGCGAACCATTGCTGAGATGGAGGATGGTCAGAGCAGAGCCCGTGCTGCGACACCGACTGATATCTTCAACCCCGCCAGGGCCACAATGTCGAAAGCAGTGGATGCCCGACCCCAGAACGCCTTTACAAGCCGTGCTGCTGCTGGCCGGCTTTTTGCCGGCGAGCCTGTGGCATCTGGAGTGCAGCCTTCTAACATCACCTCAGCCATTCGATCGCAGATGATCTCTTCGACATCTGGTATCAATGGAGCAAAGGCTGGAACCAGTAAAGAGGTTCACGGCCTGCAGCGCAAGGTGTTGCAGAAGGCTGCCCCTGCTTCCTTCGACGTGAGCTCGCGCCGTCTTGCTGAGGTTTCAATGGATGTTGCATCTAGCAGATCAACAACGATGGGCCGACACACTTCGCGACCTGCTGAGGTGCAAGAAGAGGATACTCAAAAGACTGAGCGGAGGACACAGTCGCAACCTCTTAAGAGCAAGCGGGACCTCAAGCCTGGCTATTGCGAGAACTGTCAGGACAAGTTCCGCGATTTTGACGAGGTGTGTAATTCCTTTTTCCCCAGGATATGCTTGTAAAAATCTAACTCTTGTAGCACATTCTATCTCGCAAACACCGGAAGTTTGCTGAAAACGACGAAAACTGGACTGAGCTTGATTCTCTCCTGTCACAAATCAAGAGGATGCCTAAGTACGCATCCGGTTCTGACGAGGAGGAAGTCTGGTAACGACCATTCATAAAATAATACGACATAAATCTTTTCAACATCGCATCACCATCATCATCATCATCTCAGGCCTTGTCATGGTCCGCAGCTCATGGACTATGTTACTGGCATCCCACGAAACAAACTCTTTATGATGTCCATTTTGCGCATTTCGGTTCAAATTCCCACAGCACGCAGTGTACAAACATCAAAGATACCTCATGAGTTTGGTTAGCCTTGCGCTTAATGGCGGCATTACCGGACAGTCTTTCGGTTCAAGATGTCCGCGTCTTCTTTACTATCGCTTTCTCCTTTTACCTTATAAGCATGAACTGCATGCGACGGCGCAGAGCGGCATGGTTTTTGGCACATTATCCCACGGTCTAGTCGGCCATTTCATTTGTTCTGATTGGACTGCATACATGGTAACTGATTTTTGGGGCGTTTCGTCGCGGTCCATTTCGAGAGGCATGGTTAGGACAAACGGCTGAGATGGGTTTGATGAAGGGTTGTACAAAGAGGAACCAGGGCAAGGCATTGGAGCGGAAGAATTATATCGCAAAAGCAACAGCGACTGCTTTACGACGATGACCAGAAAGGTCTGATGTAGATATGTGTTTAGGACATGTATATGTACCTACATGTTATGTAACATGAATACTTGAACAAAGCACGGTCTTTGTGGCATGATGCACAGTTAAGGTGAGCTGCTTCAGCATAAATGTAAGTGAATCATTGGTTATTTCTGTCATAGACAAGTGCCTTGCATGAGTTCTATCTCCTACCTATGTGGCGTTTTCAGCCTGCAGTAGTTGATTGGCAGACGCACGTTATGGAACTTTACGTATGTGTTTCTTTTGTCTCTCACCGATTTTCGGCTGAGACCACATTGATTTTCCTCTTCTTTTCAATTCTCATTGCTACAAGCGCAAAACTCTCTAGTGTAAGCCCACGAGGACCTCTATCACATGTTGAAATTGGACCTGCCAAGCTTGGACAAGTCTGAACTGTGTGATACTTGGGCTCAGTTCCCTAAAATCTTTGACCCCAAGGCCGCAATCGGTGCATCTCAAGTGAGAAAAGAGATAAAAAAAAGAGAAATTGGAGGTAAGAAGTCCAAGGCCGTTGGACTTAACTGGTCTTCTGACTTAAACAGGTGCTGGACGTCGCCGCTTGAGTGATTCGCTCTCACTGACAACATCAGAGCTGGGAGAAAACTTGACTGGGAGGTGAAATATCTTACCAGAAAAGCTTTGTGCGAACATTGAACCTTCACTCTTAATCGCTGCCAACACTCCTCAAGCTTTGTTTGCACTAACTCCAGCATATCTCACCATGAACCTCAAAGCCTCAGCTCATGCCAACTCAACACTGGATATTTGGAAACGACTACGAGCCTTGAAGAGCGGCAAAGAGAAGATTATTCTCGATGGCAAAAATCTCGACATTGCTTCTCTTATCGCAGTCGCTCGTCATGATGTCAAGCCTGAGATCAGCAAAGACGAGGAGCTCGCGCGCCGCATCGCTCTAAGTGTTGACGCACTAGCTGAGTACTTGTCACACAAATACGTAGTATATGGTGTCAATACAGGTTTTGGAGGAAGTGCAGATGTTCGAACCGCCGAATGGTTGGAGAACCAAATCGGCGCTCTCCAACATACACAGAGTGCCATCATCACTTCTACTGACAAGAATCCTGGGAGCAACTCTGAAAGAGAGACTTCTCACGTCATGCCCCCTGAATGGGTTCGAGGAGCTATCCTTACTCGGGCGAACCAGAACATGCGTGGACAAAGCGCTGTTCGGCTGGAAGTATTGGAGAGGTTGATCAACCTGCTTCACCGCGATATTACCCCTATGGTTCCTATTCGAGGTACTATTTCAGCGTCTGGAGATCTCATGCCTTTATCTTACATCGCTGGGGCGGTCACTGGAAACCCTGATGTTTTCGTTCAAGTGGGCAGAGGGTCGTCAGCCAAGGTGATGCCTTCAGATGAAGCTCTACGGGCCAGTGGTCTCTCACCAAGTGGTCTTGGGCCGAAAGAAGCTCTCGGTCTTATCAATGGAACTGCTCCATCTGTATCTGTTGCCAGCCTGGTCCTCCATGACGCTCAACAGCTGGCTGTGCTTGCTCAGGTTTTGACAGCATTCGCATCCGAGGCCATGGGTGGCAACGTTGAGTGGACAACCCCTTTTATCCATGCTGTACGACCGCACCCTGGCCAGATTGAGGCTGCTGCCAACATAAGAAGCTTTCTGAAAGGTTCGGAATTCGTCGTCGGACTAGACGAACGCAAGAGAACTGGTGAAGGCCTTTGGCAAGATCGATATTCTACTCGCACAAGTCCCCAATGGATTGGTCCTTATCTAGAGGACTTACTTCTTGCCCAGAGACAGATCTCCGTGGAATTAAATTCGACATCCGACAATCCCTTAATTGACGCATCAGAGAAGGATGGAAAAGTGGTTGGCGATGTGTACTCAGGAGGGAACTTCCAGGCTGTTGTTGTAACTTCCGCCATGGACAAGACAAGACTTGCTCTCCAGATGATTGGACGCATGCTCTTCTCTCAAGTCAGCGAGATGATTAACCCCTCGACCAACAATGGCCTTGAAGCCAATCTCAATATTAGCGACAAGGAGAATTTCACCATGAAGGGCATCGATGTAAACATGTCTGCCTACATGTCTGAGTTAGCTGCCCTCGCTCACCCGGTCTCGTCTCACGTCATGTCGGCTGAGATGAATAATCAGGGCATCAATTCACTTGCTCTGCTTTCAGCTCGACGAACCATGGAGGCTGCTGATCTTGTTGCTCATATGTGTGCTTGTCACATTTACGTTTCATGCCAAGCAGTCGAGCTTCGGGCGACACATCGACTTTTCCTGGACACACTCCGCGAAAAAGTACTTCTCAACAAAACGGAGAATGGACCTTTCCACGCTTTTGGCCTCGGTGATGCCGCTATCGAGAGAATCAGCGAGGCTGTTTTCGCTGTCGTCGAACGGGAGTGGTTTGACCACAATATTGGTTGCTGGAAGGATCGTATTGTACCCACCGTCGATGCTGTAATGGCACCCGTTGCGCAATTCCTGACTGCCGAGAAGATCGATTGTCCGATATCTAGTCTTGCAGTGTTCCGTGGCCAGTTCCACAAAGCGATCGTAGACACAGCTTCCTCCATATTCTATCCTAATATGGCACTAAGCTCTGTCGACGTGGCCACCAAACTAGGCGATGGAACCGCTCCATTGTATACTTGGGTTCGATCCAAGTTGGAAGTCCCGACACAATGTGGTCTTGATGATGATCCTCTATACAACGTACACAAAGGCCTTCTAACTGAGGGTAAGAAGACTATTGGTAGCTGGGTGAGCAAGGTTTATGAGAGCGTCAGGGGTAACATGATGGATGCTATCATGGGGAGCATCGAGACTGAACGTTCAGCACCCCGGACAGTTGAGGAGTATGAGAAGCTTTGTCAGTATCTGAGACAGACTGAATAGGGGACCACCAGAGAGAAAACTGAATTCAAGAGGACCATTAGTTACAAGAAAAACTCCGCTCCGGAATGGCCGACTGAAAAGATGTAACATAGCGGCTTCGGATGTACCTAGCTTAGACAATACACTCTCAGCTCATCATTGCTAATCTAATGTGGTATACGATGGAATTAAACCGAACAGAGTTTGTATCCTGTTTGTAAGAACAAACAAGAAAGAAAGAAAAGAGAGAGAGTTTGTGTTTGTGTCAGGGTAATGAAGCACCCGCAGCGTTTGATTGAGGTGTCATGATGAGGCTTAACTACATGCCAGTATCATGCACAGTGCTTTAAAAGCAACACTGTGCTGTCATAAGCAACCTCCACTTACATTAGGCGACAGTTTCACAACTGAGTTACTTACAAACGGCTGCATACTTGGCTTTCAACACCAACAAATTTCAACATTCACTCACCGAGTCGAGAATTCCCCACTCTCAGAGGGACAAATTCTTCAAAATGTCAGACAACCCACCACCAGAATGGGTGCCCTCGCCATCTCCATCACCCTCCAACGCCTCACCTATGCCCCTCGCCGATAATGAAGGAGCAGGCAGCGGCGCTGCGTCTCCAAACTTACCACTTACTATGTCCGCCTCAGTGGTGCTGGCAGATCTACCACGGGATGCGAGCGCCGCACTTGCGACTGCTGGAGCCTTCAAGGCAGACAAGGTTGTGGTGCGGTTTAAACCCGTGGGGTCCGCTCCGTCGTTGGCGCAAGACGTGTGCAAGATCAGTGCGACGAGACGCTTTGAAGAGGTTGTGAGATATCTCAGAAAGAAATTGAGGTGCAAAGAAACAGACAGTGTCTTCTTGTACGTCAACAGTGCCTTTGCGCCGTCTTTGGACGAGGTTGTAGGCAACCTACATCAGGTGAGTCTCGTAGCCTATCATAAGGCCTATGATGGATTACCAGGCTGTGAAGTTACGGAAACTGACATATCTAGTGCTTTAAAAACGCCCACGGCCAACTTGTGGTGGCCTACTCACTGACGCCTGCTTTTGGATGATTCTAATAAGGCTGAATTCTTCTATCTGGATATACAAAAGGCTATGACATCTACTCAACCCAAACTCCGAGCTATGCGACCTCTATGACTGCGCTACGACACACGAATTCGACAAGCTTCCCTCTCCAAAACCTCGCAACTACTTCTGGGGTATCATCATCTCATCTAGGAATCTTTCACCGCTTTAGTAAAGCTGTCAAGTTCCTCCGCCGAAATGGGGTATGTGTGCTCAGGAGCAGGGTATTGGCGCGACTTGACTTCATCCCGATACGCCTCGATGGCTCTCAAGCTCTCACCCCAGACATCACCGTATTTCTTGACAAACTTGGGAAGGAATCGACCAGGAGGGAAATTTCCAATCATATCGACTTGTACCAGGACTTGGCCCGAGGTACCGTTACCGGCGCCAATACCGATAGTGGGAACGGAGAGCTTTTTAGTGATGAGCGCGGCCACCTCAGCAGGAACTGCCTCAACAACCATGGCGAAGCAACCAGCTTCCTGAAGAGCAAGGGCGTCTTCAAGAATGCTCATTGCACCACTACTTGTCTTGCCCTGGACACGGAAGCCACCAAGTGCATTTTGTCGTTGAGGGGTCAAGCCAATGTGGCCAAGGACAGGAATGCCAGCGGTGGTAATCTTCTTAATAGTAGGGGCCATCTCCTTGCCACCTTCAAGCTTGACACCTTGGACACGGCCTTCCTTGATGAAACGGATAGCAGTAGCCAGAGCCTGGTCAGGACTAATCTCATACGTGCCCATGGGTAGATCTCCAACCTACTGGGATTAGTTTATTACTTGCATATAGAAAGACAGGGGTCTTACAGTGAAAGCCGACTTTGTCGCCCTCGCAACAGACCGACAATGTAAAAGCATCTCTTCCAAGATAATCTCACTCGTATCCTCCATACCCAGTGCTACCATGGCGAGACTGTCTCCCACAAGGATGATGTCCATACCAGCATGGTCAGCGACATGACCACTAGGAAAGTCATGAGCTGTCATGACAGTGATGGGATCACCCTTGCGGTGCATGGAACGAAGAGTTCCGACAGTGACCTTCTTACGTTGAACGGCCGGAGGTGCACCCATGGGAGAGTGAGAGCTGTACCGGGTTTGCGCCGCACCTCCGATGATGAGGGGCCGAACGGCTCGGCCGAGGGTCCGGGATGCCGGCCGAGTGGATGGGACGGACACCCGGGATAGGAGAGAGGCACATGACCTCATGGTAGGACTGATAAGAGACGACATGAGGAAGGGCAATAGATAGGAGTAAAGGGAAGTGCTAGTGGAGTGGGTTGAGGTGGAAGATAAGGTGTCGCGTGCTTGTCGAGTTGGGAGTGACAGAAACTTGAGGTACTTGCAGGCAGATCTCAGACCGATAGAGACAGTGGCTCAAGAAGTCTATGGTGATCCTTTTTGAAAGGGGAAAAATTATGAAAGAAGTATCTTGACTAATGCTGTTTCGTTTATGACAGTTAGAGTTGCGATCTAGTCAGAAAGTCGGGGAAAGCAAAGGTTTTATTCATGTCTGAACCATGATGAACCCTACGTTGTATATTTGAGTATCTTGGTGTTTTTTCTCAGCACCCCTGGCCTGCGCCCCACGCAGTAACTTTTTGGGGTTCTGGAAGTGAAATTTAATTTAGGCTAGTCCTTTCAGGGCATGCGAATGGCCGAATGACCGAAGATCCGTTGATGTTGAGCCGCCATTTCATTTACATGTATATCCTAGGCTACTGAATTATACCCCGAATTTTACTGGAATACAATGATTAACTACAAATACTGAGGTCACGGAAAGTTACAAACAGTCATCGAATGTATTCGGAAGCCGAGGTTGTTACTGGCTGTGCCGAGATGGAGGTGTAGTGGGGGAAGTGTAACGGCTTTGGTTGAGGTTGGCTGGGTACTTGTACCGAGGATTTGGAAATGGAGGGGGTTGTGATGAAAGTATCTAGATCCGAATACGCATGCGAGAACCGAGGGACATGGCATCCACAATAAGTAATAGCCCGGCAAGTATCTGTATCTGTATGTATATCTTGTCATATACATATGTTTTCCCTACCGCAGCAACTTTATATGCAGCCGCGTTATGATTATTCCTAGGTTACCGCCGCGATAATGGTTCCGGCTGATCCTACAACTCTATATGGCTTGTGTCGCTACGTACATGCATCGAGATGTAGGTGTCCGTTTGCTGATGCTGATCTACCATCGCAATTCGCTTTATCACGAATATACTCACTTGAATAGGAACTAGGTAACTCCAATTAAACAATATTCAAGGTTTATGAACACACAAGTACTTGTGAAGGGTCAGAGAAACTGACTGTCAAACAGAGACTTGGCATCTGATAATTGCACACAAGAAACAAGCTCAAAGCTCAACTCAGACGGTGTCACCTTTGTTGGAATTGAGTCCTCTAAAACCGGATTCAAAGAAAAAGGATGACTCAACTGAGTTGCATTGTTTCGGTCTAGATTCGTTGTTTCATGCTGCATCATGCTCGTGACGTGCTACGTCGATCTCCCCATTGCGGCAGCTTGGTGCCTTATCGATAGCACTAACACCCTGAGGGAACAGCCGGCACCTGCCGTGTTGCGTTTGCAGCGGCTTATCACGCTCGTACACATCATATCCTCGTGACTTGGCACCCCCAGGAAGGACATACCTTGCGCTTGCTTGACTCAACTTCATCTTCACCTGCCTCTAGCAATACTTTAGCTACTCCCAACCAACATCTTTTCAACTGCAGACTATTTCACACACAGACACAGACACAACCTTCAATTCTTCTGCCTCTTCTTAACGTCTTTCTCTCGAGTATCGCCTATCGCGCCGGCCCCGGAGCTCTTTGGATACCTTCATAACCCCACATTCGGAAACAACATCAACCGCCATCATGAGTAGCCCACGCCGCAGAATCGAGACTGATGTGAGTACTACCGTCTTCCCAAACGGCGATGGGAATGTGGCTAACACTAATCGTCAAAAAGGTCATGAAGTGCGTTGTCGTCTCTGCCTTCTCGCTTGTTGTATTGCTAACATGATTACAGGATGTATGGAACTCAATATAAGCTACCGTTTCTATGATGACACTGACACCCATAGGCTCATGAGTGACTACGAAGTTACACTTGTCAATGACAACAGTAAGACTTTGCTCTAACGCCAATGTCGACTTTGCTAACATGAAACAGTGTAAGCTTTCAATTCCACTTTCACCGACTCCGATCTATTTCCTGACCGATCCTCTTAGGCAAGAGTTCTTTGTTCGCTTCAAAGGACCAGCTGAGAGTATGTTTACCGAACCACACCGTCCGAACAATAACTGACATTACGAAGCTCCATTTGAGGGCGGAATGTGGAAGGTTCATGTCGAGCTTCCCGACACCTACCCTTACAAGTCCCCCAGCATTGGCTTTGTCAACCGCATTTTTCACCCTAACATCGACGAGCTGTACGAAACCTATACCTCCGTCTGATTTGAACTATGGCTAATGGTTCAGGTCCGGTTCGGTCTGCCTCGATGTTATCAACCAGACTTGGTCGCCCATGTTTGATATGATCAACATTTTCGAGGTTTTCCTTCCTCAACTCCTGCGATACCCCAACCCTACCGACCCCCTCAACGGAGAGGCAGCGGCCTTATTGATTCGAGAACCAAAGAGTTATGATGCCAAGGTCAAAGGTACGTGCCCACGGGTCCTTGAATCAGACATAATACTCATGACAGCAGAATACGTCCAGAAATATGCCTCTAAGGATGCAGCAGACGAAGCCGGAGCCGAAAGCGAAGACGATGACGAACTCTCCTCAGTGGCCAGTTTCGGAGACGATGATGAAGAGCCTGCGGGACAGATGGACGATGTATAAGCCCTTCTACGAGCGCATTAACTTGGGCGAGCGTTTCGATTCACATATGGCGTCATGGGACCGAGGCACGGATTTAGGACTATCATTGGACGGAGTTGCAGTAACCTCGCGCAGGCTTGGACTCGGATCGAATTTGTTTATTGGCATTAGTTTGGCATGTTGCACACAAAGCTTCGCTTGTGCTCATCAGAGGGCAGTTGAACGAAACAGCCGCAACTGGATACCATAATTGCTGGTGATGGGCCTGGACGTCAGGACCACGAAGGTAGTTTGGACATGATGGTTGTCCTTTCGTTCTCTGCCAACGATGCACAGCAGAAGGACAGGACTTTGAATATTAAATCAATAAATTGGGCTGAGCCCGGGTATCATATCTATAATTATTCTAAAGAGCCAGCGCCAATAGTAAAATGCTTAATCCGAGTCGTAGTCAACCAGGCCTGCTGGCGAAGCGGGCGCCTGCGCCTTGGGTGGTGGCTCTAAGCCCCGCGACTCTTCTTCTTGTGGTGATCTCTTCCGCTTCACGCCTGGCAGTCTGGCCGGTCCTTTCGTCTCATGTCGTTTGTCGATAAGGAAAGGATCCTTGGAAGCCCGAGTGTTGCCCATAAGTTCCGATACCAACGCGTCTTTACGTTTTAAAGCCTCCTTGTCAGCCTTTAGCTTGCTTCCACCTTTCGGGTCCAGTGATTTCTTCCTGCTCCCTTCGGATTGAAATAAGGGTTTAGACAATGCCCGATCTCTTCCATCATCAACCACAGGCCCAAAGTCGACAAGAGCCGCACGGCGAGCATCTTCCTCTGTCCCGGGAACAATGTCTATGCCAAGACTCATGCGATCTTGAAGAGCCTCTGTAGTCGCAGCGTCGCGCTCTCGCTCTTTGCGCCCTGCTCTAAATGCCTTCCGTAGCTTCTGATTCTGTGTATATGGATCATCCCAATGTTTCGCAGATGCCTCCATGAGATCGTCTATCCGTAGTGTCGCGCGCTTCAGCTGCTCCCTATCCTCAATAGTCTTTTCCAAACTAGAAAATGCATTCTTTCTCAACGCCTCCCTCTCTTGATCCGTCATGATCACCGCATCCCCTTCGCGCTGTACATCTTCCCCCGTATCCCGTTTCGCACCGCCCTCCGTGACAACATACGCCGTGTTCTTGGGATCCGTGCGAATCTCAATCTCGCCTCCGCAATCCGCATGACGAAACTTGAAACTCCAAATCGGCGTTGAGAAATAGCTCCCCACACGGCGCTTCGCTGCGTTGAAGCGAACGCCCTGGCCGATTATCGTGGGCTTGGGACAGGTGTTGCACCAGACGGCGTAGGGAAGCTCGAAGCGGACGGTGAGGGAGCCGGGTTTCGAGGCGCGTGCGCCGAGGGGGTTTTTGTTGTGAAGACGGTTGCCGGATGTGGTGCCTTCTACGTCTGGCGGGACGTAGCGGCCCATGTTGAAGCCCTGCATTTTGGCGGTGGTTTTGAGGCTCGTCGCCTTTGGTTGGTGGAGGGAGGAAGATTTGATGCTGAAAGAGATGGATGATGGAGGGGTGATGTTATAGTGGGAGGTACGTCACCTTTCAGTGGGGGTTGTGTTTTGGTGTAAGTCCAGTGGCGTCACGTATCACTAGAGGTAGGTTGTCTGTCAAAAGTCTAACTTGAGTGAAAACGGAAGAAAGAGTCTAATATTGAGGGATACAGAAAGGCTGTGCTAAAATAGAGATACATTTTTAAGCCTTGAGCATAGTCAAAATGTTTAAGTGGAATACAAGTGTGAATCTTGTTGATAGAAGTCAAGGACACAGGCTTCAAATACCTCTATTATCTTGTAGAATGCCACAAGAATACGGTTACGGATCTGGCACATAAAGAAAGCCAGGTTTGGCTTAATAGTAGAATGGCATCATCATAAACTCTTCATGTTGTGGCATGTCCCTACCAACCATATGGGATCATCTGCTCGCCACCTCTGTTTCACACTGGAACCAGTTAAGACAATAGAGCCTTGTTTGTAGCCTTTTCCTCTCATGTATTGTATAAAAACCAAATTACTGGCCAAGATATTTACTTCTTGTCCGTCTCAAGCTTACCAATAACAGGCTCCAAGAGTATAGGCAGATACTCTGCAGCATCCTTGCCAAACGCAAAATCACCAGGCTTGACCTTGTACATCTCTTCCTCATTCTCAGCCTCGGGATTGATAACCGCAATACGTGCGCCTTTACGTTTGGCTTTATCGATATAGCCCGCAGCAGGGTAGACTTGGGCCGAAGTGCCAATGACGAGCATCAAATCCTATAATAATTAGTCACCTCCTCAAGATTGCTCAGCGTGGGTTTCAACTCACCACCTTGTCCTTGAGAAGCCAGTTTGTGATACCCATCATCATAACGTCGTCCAGATTCTCACCAAACCACACAACACCAGGTCTTTGAAAGCCTGTCTTGCACTGGGGGCACTTCGGAATGTCATCTGGTGAGATTGGGTCCAGAGGTTGAGAGGCGTCAAGGAGAGGAAATGGCTTTCCTGGCTCTACATCGACTGAAGCTGGTGCGAGGACGGGACAGAATGGATCATCATAGTTGCCTCGTTGGATCCAATCGCAGTTGGTGCACTTGATGTCGAAGAGGGAGCCATGTAGAGTACGGAGTTGATCCTGTGGATGGCCCGCTTGTTGAGAAAGATCTGAGGTCATTAGTGACTATGGTATAATAAAAATGAAAAGTCCATACTGTCGACATTTTGTGTCAGACACAAAAAGTCCTTGTTCTTTTTAGCCAACGCTGTAAGAGCATAATGCGCTGGATTCGGTTCCGCGCGCAAGCACATATGACGTCTATAATTATAGAACAACCACACAAGACCCGGATCATTCTTGAAAGCGCTCATGGTAGCTAAAGACGTAGCATCGTGATTGCGCCAAAGACCGCCAGCGCCTCGGAAAGTAGGTAGGCCAGATGAGGCTGAGAGACCAGCTCCGCACAGCGCGAGGATGCGCTTACTGGAGCGGAGAGCTTCGTGAAAGGCGCCTACGTCGTTGTGAGGAGCCATTGCTGTGAAAAAGCGAAAATTAGAGGTTGCTGTTATTGAAGAGAATGTAGAAGAAAGGCGTGGTGTTGGTCTGAGAAGTCTCATGATATGGTGGTTGTGGATAAGCTTAAATGTTGGTGGGGAGTTGAGTATAGCTGCAAGGATTATCTGTAGGTTGCTTCTCCAATGTGAGGTTGCGTCACTCGCCGAAAGATATGATTGGATCGTGGAGCAGGCAACGAAGATGGATTCTGCCTGTGGCTCAACCTGGCTCCAAGATATATTATTGCCATGGAATATCGAATGGGTGCTGGTGTTGCCTATCATGAGAAGTGCTGATTGGCTCCTTTGACTTCAGGTTGCTATTCACTGACAAGCAAGGGACTGAGGGCCAACTTGAGGCTCGAGTAAGAGCCTGAACCTCTATTTAGACTTCTAAGCATACCGAAATAGAGTAGAACTACTAAGACATGCATAGACAGAAAATGAGCCTATGCGGGTGATATCACCTCATGCATCCAAGTCGCCTAGGTAGGCCACGCAGCTCTCCCCTTAACGCCACCACTATATGCAAGATGTATCTTGCGTGAGCATACATGCTGAGGCAAGTTATAGTGTGCCTTTCCAGTGCATTGTTGTGACCATCTTATGGCCTGGCTGCAAACTGGTTCGCCAGGAGGCAATGCCACCTCGAGAAACCTGGTAAGGAGACATCACATCCAACATGGCTGATCAATTATAAGTACTCGTCCGGATCTCTCACTCAATTAAATGATCACCATATTTGCAATTTATAACTTTCGACTTTTATTTCGTACTGACCTTCTGAAACAAACATGCCTGAGTCCAATGTCAGCTTGGTTGGTAACAACCACTTTCTTTGCGGTCCATATGGATGTAATCTAAAGTAAAAGGTTGCCTATGGATCAAAATACTTTCTGCTCATCAAGCACTATAACGAGATAACCGAACAGTTCACATGGTGTAACATATCTCTGTTACTGAATTCATCACCGGCTTACTCACACTTCAAAGCTTGGTCTCTGTGCAGCTACAGTGACCTTGACAGGGCCATCGACTCTCTCGACGGCGACAACCCCGAGTTTGTGTCACTCGAGAATGAATGGTACTACATTATACGCACCAGAAGCGGCCTATCAGTTTGTCAAGAACGCAGACCTAGATGACGATGGTGTCAAGCACGTGTGGTTGGGAATCCAAGGCTCATATGTGGCACGGAAGGTATCTGGACACTGAAAATTGAACCTCCGTGGTAATTAAGGGACTCTAAAGCAGCCTGTTAGGACCGTGCCTAGTACCCAGACCCTGGGTTTGAACCTTGAGAATGATCGGTCGTATTTTGTGGTGTTTGAAGATGGATCGGTTGTGTGCAACCCTGTCGGTATGAACTTGGCTAAGAATGCATTCAGAGCATGAGCTTGACGCGCATAAGTCGAGTAGAAGATTGTCACCTTGGTCCTCGAAATTTGAGCCGATGTTTAGGGATCATATGTGTAAGCCACAGACCACTTTTCGAGGCATGAAGTTAGTCTAAGTTTGTAAGAGCCAAGGGAGAATAGCCTGAATTTGCCCCTGTGTTGTAGATGATAACCACTGTCGTGACTATTTTCGTAAATTCTATATCCAAGATTCATCATCTGCAGCTGTAGTTGCCTTATCTAAGGGAGGAAAGAGATCCAGGACCTCGATCCTAAGCGATACAAAGTCTTAGGTAAATTAGTATAAATTTAAGATATCTGTACTAAGTTTAGCATACCTATTACTGAACTTATTTTGACATCCTATATTAAAGTCTGCTGTTTTCTTACTTCTAGAGGCTTGTTAAGTAAAAGCGTGGTAATGTGAAGCCGTCTGCCCGAGCCTCGTTGCCTTTTACGCCATTCAGGGGCACGCACTCTACGAGCTGATCCTCCAGTGAATAGCTTCATGCAGATATCGAAACCAGTCACACATGCATTAGATGTTATTGATCAAAGTGTATGCAGAGACAATTTGTACAGCTATAGCAGTGCAGCCCCTGATAACAACCTAATGAATCTCGATAAGCTTGACGGCGTAGGCCTCTCCTTTATGAATCACCGCCGAGGGTAGGAGAAAGCCATGAATGGGAACATAGATACTAGTTATAACTTGTATAATAAAAGTGTGAACCTAGAAACTTTGATCTTTATTATATAGGTAGCTGATTGCTGCCTAGAACCCTAAACTTAAGGCTGCTAATAGAATAGCCAGCATATGATTTTCAAATTGATCTCCATAACCCAAGCTTTACATCATCACATTCTCACCAGCAAGCTTTCTGCACATAAATTTAATCCTTTTGCTGCTGTTATACAGTTTATCTATAAATGCTCCAGCTCAGCCATCATGTCGCGCTCTTCATCGCGCTCTTCTTCAGGCTCTTTCCCACCACTTGTCTTTGCGCTGCCCGACTTCCCTTATCTACATTGTTCTATCAACTAGAGGCTGCTCAACTTGGAAACCTTCTGCGGTTAAGAGTACGACCTGGCGTGAGAATTATTCCTTGCCGTGGATTTTCAAGGGTCGTCGAGAGAGCGCCGGACCCAGCAGAGGTCCGAGCCCGGCGAACCTGTGAAGATGGCCGAGTCTCTCATCACTAAAGAAGAAGCAGGAGGATACTACTACGGACTTAACAGCCACCCAAAACTTGTGGCCAGATCTGACATAGAAGATAAGCCTTGGAGCGCTCGTTGTGATGGCTGGACGGTGCAGAAGACGATCGATCCCATTGGGAACCACGCAATTGTTCCTCTCTGGAACAAAGCGGACAGCAACATGCGGACGGGCATTATCGCTACACTGAGAGACCTCAACTGGACGGCGATCAATATCCTTCGACTGGGATACGCCAGACGTCTTAACACTTTGAATGAGCCAGATGACATGTTCCCCAAGCTCCTTATCTCCGTCCAGCCTGAGTCTACTTCTTGGCAGTCTGGGTACACCACCACCCTGCAATGTCGACAAGTCCTTCGGGAACACTGGATCAATGATGTTGAAGTTGAAATGATGGAAGCTTGGGTTTCGAGGTGCAACTCTCCTCGGCTAACATCCCAGCCCATCACAGAGTATATCCAAGAGGCGGCACAGCTTTCTGAGTTTCTTGGCGCTTCTATTGCAAGTGAAGCCTCTCCTACATTCGAAGGCACAAAGGGATTCTACGTGCGCCTTAAAGACACGGACAAACTGCTTGCTGTTACCTGCCGTCATGCATTACTCGATACCTTCCCGGATGTCGATTATCGCCATTCAGTCAATGCTCCAAACATGGTGATTCAGCCAGGACAAATAACATACAAGGCGACAGTTGAATTCCTGGCATCTTTTACAAAAATGCTCGAAGAGCGCTTCGATACGCTTACCCCAGCTAAGATGGAGGAGTTAAGAATCCTACGAGGCTTAAAGGCAAACTACGATCAAATTAACGACTTGGAATTGCGTATTATTGGTCACGTCTTATTATCTCCCGAGTATAGTCTCAGTACTTCTACGCCAAACGTCACTTGGATCAGGGATTGGGCGTTAGTTGAACTACACCCAGACAGGCACGAAACGGCGTTGAGCGAGATCAAGAACAGGGTCGTGGCAGGCCCTCGCGCCAAAGGACAGCTTTTTCAGGCCCTCTTTCATGAACACAGCGCTGATCACCAAACACACGTTGAGGGTATGTTCGTCGATTATCCCACGAACACCTATGAGCTCACTAAACCTGTGCAAGAACATAAGATAAGACAGCCGTTTAAAGCAGCTCGGAATCTGAAAAATGAGCCCCCTATGGTAGTAGCAAAGTTTGGTCGAACTACAGGTCTTACCTTTGGTGTCGCAAATGAGGCCAAGTCAGTTCTTCGAAAGATGTTAGCAGGAGAGATGGTTGCGTCTGATGAATTGTGTATCATTGGACAAAAGAAGAAAGAAGGCTTATGCCGGGAAGTCTTCTCTTCCAAAGGAGACTCTGGAGCGTGCATCCTAGACATGTATGGTCAGGTTACTGGCATGTTAACGTCGGGAATGGAAGCCCAGAATGAAGATGCCTTTGAGATCACCTATGCTACTCCAATTGAGTGGTTACTGAAGGACATTCGGGGCTACGGGCTTGAGGTTACGCTGGCATAAGGCTATATGGATATACATCCAAGTGTTTCCACTGAGAGGAAGAAACCGAGTATAAGCTACATGATCTAAGAAGCTCTCGGCAAGGTTTCTCCAATCATACAAGACATGATGTCTGACACTATCTGGCGACTTCTCCGCTACAAGTTCATGAGTCCTGAAGAGGTCGCTACTTTGGGTCGTGGACTTGCGTTGGCTGCTGAGCTCTAAAACCAACATCGATGTCAAGATCACATCAACCTGAAGATGCAACTGGCAGATGCATATCTGGAATCGGGAAACTGCAGGGAAGCACGTAGAACGGCAGAAGAGATCAAGGGTGTTGAGTGCAAGAGCGAGAGGATGATGCCATCGCTGTATATGCTGTTATCAAGGATTGATGAAGCGAAAAAGGGGGCAGAGGGTGCCATCGAAGCGGCACTGAGATCTGTGGTGACGAGTATGGAGGTATTCGGAAAATGGTCTGACTGGATTGTAAACTCGTTGGATTTCTACTGCAAAGTTCTCAAGCGTGCTGGGAGAGTTGATGAGGCTAGGAGAGTGGTTCAAGATCGTGACTTGACAATTGAAAAGTTATGTGACAAGTTGGAGGATTCAGGCGTCACAGTTTCGGACTGAGAGACAAGAGTTGATAGATGCCAACCCACCCTATGCTATCGTAAGCTAGAAGCCATTGACAGAATGTATATGAAAAGGCAGAGCCACTCCAAGTCTTACCTAGATGAGAATAACTTCAAACCTATAAACCAATAAAGACTTCGGTGTCGTATACCGACCTTTTCTATGCTATAATTGACAACGAGCAAACAATTCTTGGTGCCGAATAGCATGACAGAAGAGTGATGCGTGTCACAGACTAGACAAACGGGTCGATGTTGTTAGTGGTTTCAGTTTCAGTCTTTCCTCAAGTTATCTCAACTGAAGCGGTCAGAAACTACGTGCTAACTAATAGAACTCCTGAGAGCGTATAAGCGACCAACAAGGGGCCATTCGCTTCTATTCCATCGCATTTAAGCATGGCCTGCTAGACAGTCGAAGCGAGAATCCCTCAGCCCAAAGCAGAAACACCCGAACATGGGATCACGGATGGAAATAAGCCCACCCACTCTAAGACCAGACATTATAGCGCAATTCCAGTAAAACCAGGCCTACAATTCGTTGTTGATCCCTAATTCCCGGCATCTCAGGGCCGAGTCGGCCGCTGTTTCGCTTGGCGATGGGACTGAGCTGGTGATTAACGCCGGGAATAGGTCACTAGCCTTGTAGGGCCAGGGCCAGAGCCTGAGGTGCCCAGGTGCTTTAAAAGGGTTGTCTCACCCCTTTGAACAGAAAAGAAAGAGAAGAGAGGGAGGGTAGAGTATTCATTCGTTAATCACAGTCACTCGTTAAGACTCAACTACCTGATAATTCAATTCTATACACTCGTTAATCATGGCCGCCAAGTTCCTCGCCGTGGCTCTTATCGTCGCTGTCCCAGCCCTGGCTAAGACCGATCTTGCAGGATGCACCAGCTACGACACGGTTCTCAGCAACGCCAATGGAATGTACGCGTCTCGAATTTGGTACGTCCCCGACACGGGCGAGCTGTGCGACTTTCTCGACTGTGGCGGTGGCCGAGCTCCCCCCAAGACCACTGTTCCCGGATGCCCTGGCTACGTCGGTACTGCTACCTACTCTCCTCTCTTCATCAACCCCAAGACTCTCGGTGGTGCCGTTCCTGAAGAGACTGGTGATTCTCCCACGAGCACTGAGGAGGATGTGAGCGAGTCTGCTACTATTACTGCTGCGCCTACTACCGAGACTGAGGAGAGTGCTTCGGCCACCGAGGCTGGGACCGAGACTGAGTCTGAGACTAAGAGCAAGGATGATGAGAAGACTGAGACCGATAAGCCCAAGGACACAAAGACCATCACCACTCTTGCTACTCACGCAACTCCCTCTGCCTCTTCCGGAGCCGAGGCCGGTTCCGCCTCCGCCTCCGGATCCGATTCTCACTCTGCTGCGCACTCCGACTCCAGCTCCGAGACCGACGCCGCTGCTACCCCGGCCTCTACCGTTTCCACCGCCGGTGCCGTCATGCCCACAGCCGGAGCCTTCCTCGCTCTCGCCGGCGCCGCCATGTACGCCGGAATGCTCTAGATACATACACAGAACCTGGTCTTGTAGAAAATATAGTACATCTCGGATATGCTTGCCTATTTATACATCCCATCCTCCCTCGGCCGCCTTTACCCATCTATAACCTATTCCGCCTACCCTCAAATTCCGCCGACCTCCCGTGACGGGCGTAGTCACCCTCCCCCCGCCTCCGCCGTAGATCCCGGGGTTCCACCACGACGAGCAATAGGGCGTTGAAGCTGATAGGTCCACCAACCAATGCGCGGTGTAAATGACAAGATTTAGTATTCAATGGGCGTCTTAGCCTTACGTGAACAATGTAGATACAGATTCGTTCGATCTGTGCCTTGCTTTATGAGATGCATATAAGATGTCAGCAAATCATGACACGGAGCCATGATTTCATAGTTGTCCGTAGAGTTGTTCATTCACAAGCATCGAAAACTTGATCAGCAAGAACTTGACTGTGTTTGTTCTACCCCAGATTCTTTGTCGTCCCTCCACAAGCCTCGAATCTTATCTACCCGTCACCACATGACCTTTTGTTGAACCAACCGTTTCTCTACGAGTCAAACATCGTTGACTAAACTCACGATCACACGCCCTGATTTCCCCGCCAAGGAAGCCGCCGCTAGCCGTACACCCTTTGTGCTGACGACTACATCATTGTCACGATCCTTGCCCATTGAGTAGCACGGAAGTCCTGTTTGCTCTCGATTCAAGCTGTGTGGCCATCTTCTGTATCGTACCGACTCAACCCAAGCCCTCGGGAACATCACCAAACACCAAACTTTCGAAACTTGAAGACAGTATCGTTAACTCGTATATTCATCAATATGGGCTCCCACGACTCTCTGAACCAGGCTGAAGGTGCTCCCCGGTTCTGGTACCGTGATAACTTCTTCCTCACAAACGACAAGTCCTATCTGTGTCCCCAAACTTTCAACAAGTCTCTCGATGACAATTGGTGGAGCAGTCCCTTGCCGCAAGGACAACTCCAAAGAGTGCTGGATAACTGCTTGACTCTGGCGGTCTACTATACTCCCCAGACTGCCGAAGAGATGAAGAGTCAGCCAACCGAACTGCAACCAATCTCTAGTCTCCCTTTGCTAACAGTGGTACAGGGAATGGCATCGCTCAACCCAAAGATGGCTCTCCGCATAAGATGGTCGGCTTCGCTCGTGTAGTGACCGACTATGTGACGCTGGCCTACCTCACAGACGTATTTGTCCTTGAGGAATTCCAGCGGCGAGGCTTAGCATCATGGCTGATGAAGGCTCTCAAGGAGATAGTCGACGAATGGAAGCACATGCGTGGCCTTCTCCTTATGACACACGACCAAGCCGCAGCTCGTTTATATCAAAGGGAGTTAGGTGCTCAAGAGTTCGAAAAGGGACCATCAGCCGGGCTAGTAATGCTCGAGATGGCTGGTCCAGCCGAGAAGCCCACACCCAAGCATTGATGTGCTTTTGCTTTTGTGTTTTTGTTATCTAGCGATGCATTTACTCAGAACTCTCTTGCTGGGTTATTCATTTTGTGTGTGGAAATTTGAAAAATCTGTTTTAGCGCTGTGATCCGGACATGGCGGCTCGCGTCTCAATGGCGCGTTTGTACGGGGGAGCAATGGGGGGCTGGACGGGATCTAGAGAGACGTAGTCCTCAGGGAGCTGATATGATGCATCGGAGTCAAAGGCGGATAGATCTCCACAGGCAATGAACGGTGCAACCCATCGAGTGCTTCTCTCCGTGTCCTCGGTTGTCTCGTCGTAAACCTCCATTTCCACGACACCTTCATCCTTTACCGTCGAATCCTGCATGTCGACATCACCCTTCTTCTTGAGCATCTCATCCAATCGTGTACCGACGCCGAGAGGCTCTTCGAGGCTGGCACGGAAACCAGCGGGAGGTTGGAAGTTGATGCATACGATGAAAGCTTCCACACTGCTTGCGCGACTGCTACGGGGCTTGGCGACGATGACCTTCTCAAAGAAGATCTTAAGTTGGGCGTAGAGAACATCGACGTTTCTTCCGCGGAAGATCTTAGCGACGAACTTGCCGCCGGGTTTGAGGACACAGAGTGCGAGGTTCAGGGCGGCGAAGAGTAGTTGAGATTGGACGTAGATATCGAGGTCATGAAGACCTGTCACGTCAGGAGCTCCATCGCTCAGAACGAGATCAACCGGGTGCGAGGCCTGGGTGCCAGCACTCTTGGGATCGTAAGAAGGATCGAGGGCTGAAAGCAGGAGAGGGACTGTCGCAGGATGTGTAATATCGGCCCGGAGTGTCGTAATACCCGCAAGTGGTGAGATAGGTTGCAAATCGATCGACACGATCTTGACATCTTCTCTAGGCTTCGTAGCCTCCTGTTTCGCCTCCTGAATGTTCTCGGTTTCCGTTGTTTGCTCGTTGTCGTTATTCTTGGGTAGAATTCCTAGCATCTGCTGTCGAAACTTGGCTTCCTTATCCTGCCAGGCAGCCCTTCCAAACTTTTCGCCCTTGATCAGTACGCGGGATAGTACTTGCGACCAACTTCCCGGTGCGGCGCAGAGATCGACGACTCGAGTGACATCGGCGAACAGGTCGAATTCTGAAGGAGGATGTTAGCTATAGAGCATTGCTTGATCTTGACAATGATCTACCCTCGTCCAATTGCAGAAGCTTAAAGGCACTTCGAGCGCGCCATCCTTGCTCCTTGGCAAGTCGGTAGTAGGCGTCGCGTTTATCTTTCGAGGACTTTCCCATTGTGTCGATGTATCTTGGTCGTGCTGTTGAGATTGAATTTTTTTTGAATCTGAATTTCGTGCCCCGCGTTGAAGATGGTGGGTTGGTGGGGTGCCTCTAGAAGTACCCCTCCATGAGACGGGATTGGCTCAGTAACTCTATTTGCTATTGATTTGGCTGTCTATTAACTCACAAACTCCTCAGATAGCGCTGTCTAAGTAATTAAATACATAATCTTCGTGTCTGAACAAGAGTCTATCGCTAAAAACCCAGTTCATTTCCTACAACCTCCAAGGCCTCTCTCAAAAGGCTACCAACCTTCTCGTCACCAACTACACCAGATGCTCGCACAATAAGAGGATATAATCTCAGCAAATGCTTCCTCTCATCACTCTCAACATTGTCCAATTCCGGAATGGCACTCTTATCACTCTTCAGCTCGACCAGCTGCTGTAGAATCCACAATAATTCCCGTCGCTGGCTCAGGGGTTGGGGCATTTTGCCTCGCAGAGGCTGATCAGCGATATAAGCCCTCAGTGTCAACGCGCACCGAATTATGAGGAATGGTGCCGCCGTGCTCGCAATTCGGGTGTGAAGAGTTACAGGTGACTCGGCAAAATGGCTCTGCCTTGGATCTGGTGATTTGGGTGTTGGGGGTTGGATGACAATTGTTGGCTCATCCTTAGCAGCAACGAGCCCAAACAGCAACTCGCAAGCGACATAAGCCATCTTCACGCGCTTGGTAGGCAATACTGCTACTGTTCGTCCTGCGCGGGGAGCATAGAGGGCCGATAAACCTTTCTCATGTGTGCCGTTGATGATCGACTCTTCGTCTGGCGATGGAGCATGAATTACTGAAGTCTTGAAAAGGCTTTCAGCATAAGCCTTGCGGGCCTTTTCAGAAACAGCTGCGGCTCCAAGTGCGGGAATAATAAGTTCTCGCAGCTTGTGGAAAGATGCAATGTCGAACTCTTCGTCGCCTGCGAAGTCGGTACCGGGAGGAGCAACACTGCAATCCGCGCTCATGACCCCATCAGCAATGGCGACGATCGTAGTCCAGATATCCTGGGCAACACCGCTTGGTAGCTCGAGGCTCGTGATCTGCGACAGAGTCGCCTCTAGGATGGTAAGTGCCGTAGATGTAGCTAGCCTCCATGGTTGCGTGGATTTCGTTATCGTAGGGAAGCCGCATTTTAACTCAATGGGTTTGCACAAAGCCTTCAGAGCCTCGGAGAAGGAGTTGCTGCGGTAGATATCTGAGTCCTTCGAGTGCTCAAGAATAAGCTTCTCGAGTGTCTTCATGCTCGCTTTTGAAAGTGCAATGTAAGTACGTTTAGGTCCTGACTTTGAGAAGTTGGCCTGCACAAAAGGCAAGACCAGAAAATCCGCAACTTGTGTAATTATGGCCGATGGCGCTCCTTCAACATCCGTTCGAATCATTTGGACAGCTTCAAGAATATGTGCCTGCAAAGGCGTCACATATTCGATATCTTGGACGTAATTGCCAACTGAGGCTTCGTCCAAAGTTTCTCGGAGAAGTGCCAGAATTCTACCAACTCGTTTCACTTCAAGATCTTCTTGTACAAGTCGATAGATCTCTGTCAAAGCAGATACATATGCAATGAGACAATTCTGGTTGTCTTCAGCCTTTTCATCAGCAGGCTTGGAGGTCGGAACTCCTCTTGCCCATAAATCCCATGCAATATCAATCGCTGTCTTGCTAAAGACAGACTTGCCCTCAGTGTTCGTCTGAGACAAAATATGAGCAAGCGCTTTGAAGGTTGCGGTGTTGATATCAAGGACTTGAAAGTCGAGTAGTGTAGTAAGATGAGAAAGTAACTCTTGCCATAGGTGATCGAATGAGGGGTGGCCTGTGAGAATATCAAGGTAATTAGCGAGGAGGCTGGAGATACCGCTGAGAACAACAACGGCAGTCTCAGTCCACTCAGCCCGGTCACTGTCCGCAGCATCCTCTTCCTCGTCCGACTGTAGAACTTTGATTTCTTGCTCAATCGATGACAAGAGCTTAAAGACAACGGACTTGACACATATTGACCAAGACTCAGGGCTGAGTCGATCACCGTAGGCATCAAAGATCCTGAGCAAAGTCTGGATTGCACTATTGCGAAGCTCAAGCCTGTCATCAGTGGTGACATTAGTCAGTCGCAGCAGAAGCAACATCCACAATGCTGCATCAGAGCTCTTGTGACCATGATCAGCTGCCATCTTTTCCAGATCAGGAAGCTCAGTGTTTTGCATCATGTCTGCAGTGATGGCGAGAGACTCATTCTTCGCCGAGAGAAAGTCTGATAGCACCCAGAAAAACGTCACTGTCTAAGGATAATTAGTATTATTACCCTCATAAAGTTATTAACGACTTACAGTTAAGGCAATATTGAGATCATCATCTTGTGAGCAGAACTTGTACAGATTATCCACCAGTATCAAGAAGCATGAGTTTGGTAGCGACGCTAGAAAGTCTGAGCAAATGAGTTGGAGAGAGTTGAAAGAAGACCTAATAAGTCTTGCTGATCGAGTGTCAAGAAGAATGGGGTTGGCCACTGAGCCACGGCGGTAAGCTGGGTCGAATTCCCTCGTGATAAAGATGGTGCCGATGATCTCAAAGGCTATGTCCCAGCCCTTGACCAATGTTTCTCCGTTGCCTTCAATGATGCTTTGAAGACCATCGAGGATGATTTTGTGAATATCGATGTCTGTTGAGTGACTCGCAAGAGACACTTCTCGGTCACCTTCAAGGAGAGGCGCCAGTGACCTACGAAGGGCCTCGAAGAACCGTAGTTGTATCTCACCACGAGCTTCCTCGGGCAGGGAAGATGTTACATTAGCAGCTTCCAGGACAAGTTTCACAAGAATGTCTGCTGCCCTAGTTCTGACAGATGAGTTCATGGAAGAAGAGGTGAGAGTGTCAATCAGCTCATTAGTCAACACGTCCCAACCAGATTCTTCTGGACTGTACTCCAATAATCTCTCGATGTTGATCGTAGCAAGCTCGCCAAGCTTAGCGAGTGCGAATTGATCTTCTTGGGTTGACCCAGAACTCATTTGCTGTCCAGAAAACCTACGGCCCTGTACGACGGGAGCCTTGAGCTGTTGGCCATCAGACGGTGTCTGCGGCTGAGTGGTAGTCTCAGGCTGTTCAATTGGCTTCTGTGTCAGCAAACTACAGACAGCTGCTACCACTTTCAGGAATGACTCGTTGGGAAAGTCAACTGTGCTCTCAATAAGTCTGGATGCCGCTGTTTCCACCGCACGAACCTCGGAGCCGAAGTTGGCCATCAATGTGGCAGCTTCACTATCACCGCCTGCATCGGGTCCTCGGTTCATGGTTGGTGTCCTGCCAGGAGACTTTCCGCTTACGAAAAGGACAAAGTCAGCCTGTTGAAGTGTCTCCAGAATAATACTCCAAGCTCCTGCCAAAGTTGGACCAAGCGCTATGCCCAAGTTCAGAAGTGCCCGGAGGCATAGCAGGTTTCGAGTATTTAAAGAAGCGACAGACGCATCAAATGAGGCCTGTCGTCCTTTGTCAGCCGTAGGGGTGGTCGGCGTCAGGCTATCAACGCTCAGGAGACCCCGGGCGTTGCTAAAGAGACTGCCATCGGTTGGTGTGCTTGGTGTTTGTGGTCGAGGTTGGCCAACATTGACACAAGCTGTGAGAACATTAGGTGGGACAGCAGCTTTGCCCAAAGTTGTAAGGAAAGCATCCCGAGGAGTCGATAATTGTAACAGCCCAGCCACGTGAGCAAATCGTTGGAAGGCACGGACTAGTCCATGATAATATTCGGAATCGAGTGCAGCATATAAGAAGGTAGAACAGGTCGCAAGAATTGCAGGCCAGCACTCCTCAACGATCGTAGCACAGATTTTGACTTCAGAATGGAGAGGATGGTCTTCTAAAGAAAGGGGGTTCAGTGGAACTGGGTTCTTCTTAAAGGATGCCGACCTTTCCATCTTCCCTCTGGGCGGGGTACTCTCTTGCTCAGACGGTGGTGCAGGTGAATCCCGACCAAATTCTTGTCGAGAAGTTCTTTTTCGAGTTCTTGTCTCATTGGGGACTGTAAGAGGCAGTATGAACTTGGCTAGACCGTCCGATACAGACGATATACAAGCCAACACCAAGCTGTAGAGATAAGACTCTGGTATAGTAGGTGCCTCCGTCTTATCGAGCTGATCAATACAAGGAACCCGTACTGAGCTAAATTGGGTGCTAATACCCGTTGTGGTTGTCTCTGCACCAACTGGCCCTGTCATCAGACCTGTCATACCACTCGCTTCAGCAATGGCTTGCTCAGAAGAGCCATTTGTGCTTGAGCTAGTTGTAGGGAGTGACGATGAATGACCCAGTCCAATTACAGCAGGCTTTTCTGTGCTTAAGCGCACGAAGGTAGCGATCAAGGGCTTGAGGACATCTTTCTCTCCTTCTTTAGCATCAAACATGGCGTAGATTCGTCTGAGCAGGGCATGATCCGCAAATATTCCACGAAAAACCTCCATGCACAGCGCTCTCTTCCAGACGGTTTCATCTTGATCGAGAATTTGTGTCAGAACAGTCAACGCCTCACCGCATTCTGACGGCAATATGCCGATGTGCCTACGCAGCATAGTGTACAGAATGCGCACCAGACGTACTGTGGTCGCGAAATTCGGTTTCCCCTTCAAGGCTCCAATGAGGAGTGGCATTACTCTGCTTCGTAGAATCTGAGCCTGCTCGGGGTGGTTACTGAAGACGGTTGCATGATTTGTGATGACGGATTCAATGAGTTCCAGGCCGAAAGTCTGTGGAAGCCCCGAAACGCGGATGAATTCTGGTCTCTGGTTTTCGGTCATAAGGCACAAATCGTTGAAAATACGGTAGGCATCGGTAGCGGCAGGATGGTTTTCTGAATATTCAGCATCATTTGCCGTAGGCGTGTCGCCTGTTTTCTTGTCTTCAGCGACAACTTTGTCAAACACAGACACGACCAGTTGCTGTAGCGTCGCTGCTGAGGTGTGGTTCACAATGG